TGTTTCTATTCAACGTTCTACTGGAGGTTCTAACAAGCACATAGAACAGTGGTGCCCAGTGTTGTTGGCACCAGGGACTGGTTTCCTGAAAGACAATTTTTCCATGGATTAGGCAGAAGAGTGATGATCTCAGGATGATTCAAAAGTGTTACATTGATTGTGCACTTTATTTCTATCATTATTATCTTGTAAGCTTTAGGTTGTCCCAAATGGATGGGTAAAAGATTTAAAAATTAAGGCAGCGCCTGTGGGGTGCCAGCTCCATATCCAGAGGTAACGGGTTCAAACCCAGCCCCGGCCAAAAACTGCAAAAGAAAAAAAAAAAAAGATTTAAAAACTAGAGGGAACTTTACAGGCAAACATTGAATAATACATTTATGATAAGATAGGATAGGGAAAGAATTCCTAACTAATACACAAAAACACAAGACAACAGAAATAATTAATAAAATTGACTACTTTAAAACATCAAAATAGATTATTAGTAAGTTTGGCTACTTTAAAATTGAAGCATTCTGTTCATCAAATAATTTCACAAAAAGAGGGAAAAAGTAAACCTCATAAACTTACAAATAAAAAAATTTAAAAAAGACAAACAATAGAGAAATGATTAAAGGACAAGAATAGACAAATTACAGAAGATGAATGGCAGATAAATACAAGAAAAGATGCCCAGTCGCACTAGAAATTAAGAAAATACAAATAAAACTGCAACCATTAAGATGGTAAAAATGTAAAAGTCATACAATTAATTATAGCAGAGGATATGAGAAGTAGATTTAATACTTTAGGGACATTAACATAACGTGATATTGCTACTTTGGAGAGCACCTTAGCATTAGCTAATGAAACTGAAGTTGTTCATATACGGCATGACAATCGCTATTGCACGGTTATATCCTAATATCTTAGACCTGCAGATCTGGTCACCTCTGTATCATTTGTAATAGATAACAAGGAGAACAATCTAAATGGCCATCAAGAGGAGAATGATAAACTAAACTGTGGCATATTCATGGAAAAATTTCAAACATGATTGGTAGAAAAAAGCAAATTGCAAAAGGATGCATATAGTAGTCTATATTTATAAACACATGTCCAATGAAA